AGGTTGTTATTTTATTTCTTCCCAGCTTGTTGAGTTCCTCGACTCTGATGGCAATGGTTACATCACTCAAGAATACATACAGAACCTTACTATCGATCAGTTGAAGGATGTGCTGTTATTTATTGACCCAACTGATGTGTCGAATACTGAAGAGTTTGAGTACAGCCACATTGATGCTGATGATATTGAGTATGTTAGTATATCATCCCGCCGATCCAGTCAGTCAGTCAGTTCTAAAGTCATTCAATCATTCTGTATTGTCAGTCAGTCTGACTGTCTGTCTGTCCATCCGTCTATCAATCAGTCAATCAATGAAGCAATCAATCAATCAATCAATCAATCAATCAATCAATCAATCAATCAATCAATCAATCAATCAGGTAGTCATTGATATTGTGAGTCAGTTGTGTTTGTTAGTCAGTTTCCTGCCAGTCACAATCTGTTGAAGTCATTCATATGCCATATACATGTATAATCAATGTGTAATTGATAACAATGAATAAACAAACAGCAGGCAAACGAGTGATGTCTGAAATCATTCATCAGTAGTAATCACTCACTTTTTCCACCACCCAAAATAACTTGTTTCCATGCACCTCTTCTGAAAATGCTCACCTTTTCATTATTATTTCTTACAACTAAATTATCTTCTTTGCAAGATCATGTAATTAAAATTATTTTCATTTACTAAATAAATACATTTTTCCTGTACTTAACAGAAATCTGCTCACTCATTGCCATGATGCAAGAGGAAACTTTGACAGAGAACAGTTTGTTTCAAGTTATGTAGAGGTAAGAGAAAAGAAATGTCACAGGATGTTTCTGAGAAAACTCAGCATGTACTCTATACAACAGAATCCATTCATTAATCCAGCCGTCTACATATTCCAGAATATGGTTGCATTTAACTGACCAAGTTGTTCTGAGCCAACTGAAAATAACCGTGGTTGCATAGGAGAAGCTGTCTGAATGCATGCGTGTGTGGTAGGGTTGTAGCTAAGGGCAGCTGTTGCCTAATAGACCTAAAAAATAGACCTTAAATCTCTCTGGATTTTCGCAAGAAAGAAAAAAATTGGGGTAACTTTGCAGGTGCAATGGCTGGATGAGGTGTACTCTATTTTAGGTTTGATCCCTGGTATGCCAGTGGCACGATTAAGTCATTAGAATCCTAGTTTTGTAATCTGACAGTGTCATGTTCAAGCCCTACATCCTGCTATTGTTTAGTTCCAGGAGATATCCATACCTAAGACTCCCAACCCCCACATTTGTTTCACAAACCACCGGGTACACATCCTGTAACAGTATATTGTCTTTTTGTGCCAATACCCTCCCCCACTCCCCAGAAACATGAAGTACAATTGCCACACTAAAACACAAAAGAACATTTTGCTGATCCAGAAAATATCATTCTGTACCTCTCCAGTGTAAGGTTTTTGGGTTCGAATGACCCCTGACCACCCCTGTGGAAATTCCCATTCAACCTTGGGTTCCTCAAGCATTTTTAAGAACTTAACCTTTAAAAATCCTCTTTCCCTTGACATTCTTAAGGTGAGTATGGATAATTCCTAGAACCACACATTTTATCAGAGTCTGCTTAACATGATGGGGAGATGTTTTTCGTCATCTAGCAATACATTTAATTCTTTGCTTTTCTGTCTCTAAGGAACTTGGTGGAACTCCTAGCAAGGCCACTGAGGTAATTACACCATATGAGTGACTGCCACAGAGTTAATGTAATTTACTACAATTTACCAGTGTTTAATATCAGTTTCTTGATCATGAGCAAGGTGCAAAGAAAATGTCAGTCCTTTTCAAACATGGAAGGACAATGAATAACATCTCAGAGGCTAGGTTGCCCTAAAAGTTTGCTGATAGCCATTAATATACTCTTTAGACTGCTCCAGGCCAGTTTTTTTTTCTCTCTCTTAGGGTCCACCCAATGTTTATCCCCTTTGAAAACAAACACAAGATTTGTGAACATGTGCGATATATATGTACATGCGTAATCAATTTTATTAGACAAGTAATACTCACGATTAACTTCCACTGGACTGTCACAAATTGTACAAAATAATATTTTCAACAACAGCAATAATTTTTATCTTTCACTTCTGTGTAGATTGTTGAAAATCTTGGAGCACATGATAAAGACATTGCTGTGGCAGACATTGCAGGTCTCATTCCACAAGCCCTACACAAGTTTCACAGTTCCAAAGTACACGATCCTTCATTTGAACGAAAGATGTATCAACACCTACACCAGCACAATGAACTATGATCAAATACAGCTAACCCGTCAGAACTGACCTGAACATGGAAATTCTCTGCGGTTCATTGGGTGGCGAGAAGAATTTAAGATCATACAATTATAATAATTATTATTTAATTAAAATTTCTCTTTTGCATCAGTTCCTGCATCTTCATTAGCTTGTACATGTTTTCTTATGATAATATTTTATCATGAATTTCAAGATAAAATGCCAATCACTTGGAGTGACTGTGAAGGTTGCCATAATGCTGCCACTTGTCAAAGTTTTTGATTAGCGGTAATAATTCAAATATAGGATTATATTCATTACACATTAAAGTACAGAATTTATGCACATCTCTTTATAAAGTATCCTTGTTGCACATTATCTAAACTAACCAGACAAACGAAATAAAGTGTATTTCAACGTTATAAATACATTTTTACCTTAAAAATATTACAGATATGCTAACGTCTCCTCCTTAATACGAAAATTTCAATAACTGGGCACACATCAAAATACAACGTTTTTAAAAATAATTTAATATACAATGCACAATGTGGACACAAAATGGTACTTAATACAATTTGTTAATTAAAGGGTGTTTTAGGTAAGCAGTGTGTTGATGAATTCTAGAAATCTTCCATCTGTTTGGTCTGTTGGGAACTTTTTTATCAGAGAAGACTGTAAAAAAAGACAAAAAGAAGATATTTTGCAATTAAATTTTTGTCAACCAACCATACAGTCACATAAATAAATGCTGCTGCACAAAATAAAAGCATTTACAAGTTGTGATTTGCTGTAACAGTATAATGTGATCCCTCACATGATTTCAGGGCTTATCCAGATAGCTTTTAAACGGTTCTGGCCGTAAAAATGAAAAAAAAAAAAAAAAAAAAATTGACTGGAATGTGGGTGAAATTTCTCCAATACACTAGTAAGACATAGTGAGAAAATTCATGATCACCATGAAATATACACTTAGCAGAATGTTCAAAATCAGTCTTTGGAGAAAATTTCACGAAGTAAAATGTTCATGGTGTAAGATAATTTAACGCTGCAAAATTTTCACCCCTTGTTATTATAAGTTGATAAATTATGTGCCTTATTGTCTCATGCACTATTAACAGCGTTAATATTAACCTTTCACTAACCTAGTGCTAGGGCAATAATGGGGAGTACTGGGCTGAAGTCATGGCAGTGCGGACCAAGTGCAGTGAGGTCAGTACAAAAATGAGCAAGGGTCAATATTCCCCAGTGCGGCTCAAGCCAGTTAAGTTAGGAAGTAGTTTATTATGACGCACTTGTCTAGTTGTTTTGAGAAATTTTGATGCAGCTTTTAAAAACAAAAATAATAAGGGCTTTTGAATGTTTCCATGTATAGCAAAATCTTGACCAAGAAAGAAGCAGTGCCAGAACTCTCAGATTTACCTCAAGACTACCTTGCTATGTAATAAGAGCACATAATATTCACTGACGTTTGGCTGGAGGTTGTTGTGTACAGACCTAGCACTTGTTTTGTGCACAAAATGACCAAGATATTTCCCATCTGGCCTAAACCACCTTTGCAGAGCTCAGGTTACTAGCTGGAAGGTTGACAATTTTACGGTGACTAACCCTAAACAGGCAATAATTTAATATTTACTTTCTCCAGGATTAAAATTCTTTAAATATTGGGCATTGGTTTTTCTGCAGATAGCAATTTAAAAATCCATTGCAAACTAACATTATAAGGTATTGGGGAGGTTATTTCAAGCACAACTGACAGAATACTAAAAAGTAAACTTAGTATGAAGCATGAAAGAATGAAAGATGTGAATGCAGCCATAATACTACTGGAAAAATGACCTGAAAAAAATTTCAGGCTCTGAATGGGATTCGAACCTACGATCTTTGCGTTACCAGTTCAATTCTCTACCAACTGAGCTATCAAAGCCACATGAGAGCAGTCGTGTGTGGGTTTGGCCCCATGTGTTCAGTGGACGTAATAATTGGCTCAAGTATATGAATTCCATGGTAATAGATGTCCAACAGTAGCAATTAAATAATGAAAGAATGAAAGATGTGAATGCAGCCATAATACTACTGGAAAAATGACCTGAAAAAAATTTCAGGCTCTGAATGGGATTCGAACCTACGATCTTT